GGGACATGTGGACGAAATAGAAACGTCTAGATGCAGTGGAGAAGGAGCAAGAAAAACAGGGCGCCGAACTCCACTCCCTCAAAAGACGTCAAGACCGCACAGAGAAGGCCACATTGTGAGTGATTGAACACAGCCCTAAGGTGGAATTATGTTGTACAGCAGCACCGCACAAGCCATTTAGATAGATATCAGTGAATTGATTCAGTTGCCATGTCCCCTTCCACGACAGCTCCCAGCGAATGGCATCAAAGCAGTGAAGAAAGTTTCAACTGTTGTAGACTATGGTTCGCCAATTGATGGACTAGGGCCTGGAAGGTGAAACCAAGCAGATGCTGGTGGGCGCGAATCTGTGGAGAGCTGTTTTTACGGTTCTACGCTAGAGGGCGCTGGTTTCACTTTTGCGAACGCTGCCGACGGCCTTCATGACCGGGAATTGTGCCTTGCCCCGCCCGTCCGAGCGGTGTGCCAAAAGAAGGATGGGAACTATCCGCCCCTGGTGTTCTTTGCCAGTGGACCCTCAAAGCCAACCTGGCTGGAACAGTTGAACATAGCAGAAATTACATGTGTACACATTACTTGTTTAAACATGCATTTGATTCTTAGATTCCGGTATATCGACTATGAGGCGGTGAACAGCACCTTCCAAGATGTGTACTTTGGAATGGCTGTGTTGCCTATGTGCAAGTCTGTGCCTACGGGTGTAAAACCGAACGTGTGACTACCGCGATTTTTGAAGTTGATGCTACGTGAAAGGTGGGGGGGTTGGGGTGGGGTGGGATGGGGCATATGGACGCTCGTTTGCACTTGCTATCTGAAGTAGATGCTACGTGAAAGGTGGGGGGATTGTGTTGGGGTGGGATGAGAACATTGTCATCGTTTTCACGACAAGTAATCTTCGGTTTCATAGCATTGTCATCGGTTTCACCACTTTATTTTCGGTTCATAGATGGTCATCGGTTTCATAACATTGTCATCGATTAGTTGTGTGATTAAAGTAGGGTGGGGGGGGTGGGGGGGGGGTTGTGATGCAATGAGGATGTGGATGTCATGCTGAGAACATTGTCATCGATTTCACGACAAGTAATCTTCGGTTTCATAGCATTGTCATCGGTTTCATAACATTGTCATGAATTAGTCGTGTGATTAAAATCGGATGGCAGTGGCGTTGGGAAAACACCACGTGTACTAACTTGTGCAAAAAAACTGCGCAAGTCTACTTGAGACAGGACGCATGAAAGTTGAGGACAGCCCGGGACAAATACGGCGACGGATTTTGCGCTGGCGCTTGGGTTTCGGCAGATTCGGCTTTAAACATGAAAGGATCCGGGACCCCCAAAAGACATCATCGAACAAGCAAAAGTACTGAGAGGGTTTGCGCTTTTGAATCAAAATTTGCACGACTGCACGTGCGGTTCCACACCCGGCGGGAAGTTTATGAACCATACGCATCCGTACGTGTGTCCCAGCAACAACCCGTTCGTGCACGAACCTTTGTACCTGCGGGCTGGCTCGATCGAGCTGAAATGGTATGCCTCATCTCTGGTCAGTGTTGACATGCAGTTCGGTTTGGCTTTGGCGTTGGCGCCTGCGAATTTAGTCCAGATTTGGCGGTTTAATCAAGAGTCAAGAGTGATGTTATCTTATTGAAATGGTGTGTCCATGGCACTCACAGTTCATGGGGCAACACTTTCAAGGAGCATTTGGCTTTCCTGGGTCTCATCAGTGGCGAGCCTCGGCCAACTTTGATGCGTGGATACAGAAGAAATCCAGCGTGGAAGAAGAATTCTCAAACTCTGTGTGAGATATGGGCAGAGGGCATCCCAGGCCAAGCTTGCTGAACGTTCTTCGTGACCACCCAGATTTTGGGTTACAATGCGGCCAGACCAGTGTCAATGATGGTTTCAAAGCAAACGCGCCCTGGCATGCCATGCGTAGGAGCTGCACGGCTTTCGGGGCGAAATCGTAAAAGTTCGCTCGAGGCGCCGTTTGTCGGATTTGCAAATCAAGCTTTCATTCACAGCAGCGATTGACGATCCATTTGCGTACTTGTTGGAGACTCTGACGCATGTCCTTCCTCCTGGCAAAGGTAGCAGTGTCTGTCGTTGCGCAAGCCTCCAGAGCCGTTAGCTGGAGGCAAGCCAACGCACTTCTTCACGCAGCCTGTATGCAATGTTTTTGGCCCTCCACGTCCACCCAAAGACCCGGAGGCTGCTTATGGCGCGCGTATCAAAAGACGGGACATTGATCTGGATTATTCTGCGAAGGGGAGGCGAAAAATTAGCCTCTACATACTCAGCGCGCACAGCAGACAGAAGTTCGCTTCTTCTTCTTTTTCTTCCAATCCGGCCAAGGGTCAGTCCATCCATGTCATGGTCAATGGTATTTTCACCGCAGAGGGATGGTCAGTGCTCGCGCTTGCAAGGAGCCAGCATATTGTACTGTGGGATCATGACGCAGACGCAACAAAAGTTAGCAGGTGGGCACCATGTTTTCGCGATTTCAATTAATTGCGCATGCAGCGGGAATCCAATGGTCGTGGAAACAGCGCGCGCGTTCTGGCGGCTCTCCACAGGAAGAGGGTGGAGGCAAGGTATTTGCCTGGCCAACCCTTGCCTTTCAAAGGTGTCTCATCTCTGGGGCTTCAAGAGCCTGAGTGAGCAGGTCAGGACTGTTGATGTTCCAGTTGCAGATGCTCGTGCGCACGTGCGTCTATGGGGGGTGCGCGTTCCTTTGAACGCCCACAAAATCCTCCAAGCGTGTGGCGCAGCAGACTCAGAAGCTGGAGTGCGTCACGGTGCTTCCTTTCGATCATTGTGTCGTCAGACGCCCGCCAGAACACCTATAACACCATTGCTGCTCCGAATTGGTTGCCTCAGCGAGGCATGCCACCATTTCGGGCATCAGCCGTCAGCTTCAAAGGCGGCGTGCCCACAGAACATACAGGCTGGATTCGACCACTCTAATTCGCTGCATGACCGCCAAGCGCCGACTGGCGGAGTTGATCGCGAAAGGACGGAAAAATGAATTTTGCTTCGATTTTTCTCGTAGGTGTATAGTCAGACAAATTCCCAGCAACAATTTTTGTTTTTGGGAGACATTCCTTTTGGTGTCAACTTATCTGTGATGGTAGTGAGTAGTACGAGGCACCAGTTGTGGACTTTTCAGTATCGCGAAGTTTTCAAGACTTGGATTTACAGAAGGTGGGTGGAGGCTTACACCCGAGTGGCCCGATGATTGTTGATGCCCCCCTTGATTTGGATAGTGTTTTCGTACTGCGGAGCAGCCCTACTCCATTTGACCGGCCGAGGCCACTCTACAATCGGAAGGCCTTCCCTTGGACACCGCAGCAGACAACTCCTAAGCCCAAAGTGGGCATCTGAGCAGAAGTTGGTGGTGGCAAAGCATTGTTGGCAATTGTAGGCCTTGGCTGCTGGTGGCTGCTGGATTCAACTGGCACTTGTTTAGCGAAGGAACACAATGGAACACACACACACACATATATGACATTCTGCACCTAATGCGGTCTTAGGTTCAAACATATACAAATCCAGATTACACTGAAGACTGCTCTCCACCAATGAGCCCTCCCTGTGGCGGTGCAGGTTGTAGGATTCGGCAGATGGCACTGGCTGAACTCGTCAAATATTCAATCAACAGTTCGGCGCATGTTCAGCGCTTTGGAAACGGCCTTTGTTGTGGAAAGGTGGATGGGATTTCATACATAAATAATTGCATAACATTTTGTCAGAGACCTTACCATGCAGGGCAGGGAAAACGGTGATTATGAAATATCATGAACGAGGAGGTCGTTTCAAGATTTGACGATTTTTTTGAAAACGAGGGTTTTCCATTAAACAATTTCGATTCCCATTTTGAGCGGTTGGGTGGATTTCTCCCAAATGTGTTATTTTAAGAAGAACCAGGCTCTGGCCATGGTCAACACAAATGGAGCATCTCTGTGCCATCTTCCCAATAGCGTCTGACCTCGCCACCATCGCACGTCTCAACCCCGAACAAAGGGGAACAAAGGGTGTCCGTAGGTGGTTGCAGACATTCGGGCGTGGTCGTTGAACTGATGCAGAGTGATAAATGTGTTAGTTGTCATTAGTTGTCATTTTGAGGGGAGTCACATGTTGGCTCTTTGGGACTCACGCAGGGTGTTTGGGCAAGAGGTTTTGTGTTCTTTTATGTTCTTTGGTGGCTGGGTGTTCTCTCCTGTTGAAGTAGATGGCCGCCCTCGGAGACATGTTTGTTGACAACCGACACTCAACTCGCTTGACCGTTTCAAGCATTGGTCACAGCAAAGCATCCAACACATCTAAACCACCAAATCAGGATTGTTCCCGAAGGCTGTTAAATTTCCGAATGCCAAACAACTGTAGGCAGCAGGGTGATGTAAATTTGCACTCTCAGTCCTTTGGTCTTGCAGAGGGGTTCTACTAAGAGACACAACAATATTAAAACCCTTAGGCCCTTAGCACGGATCAGCAGGGATCTATGGAACAGGCCAGGTACCACGTTCCTTTTCTTCGCCCACTAGTGATCATGCTGGAGCTGACACAGCTTTTTGGGCAGCCGCGGCAGCCTCGAACAGCCCGGTCGACGAAGCCTGTTTTAGGGGGATCAGATGTTTAAGAAACTATTTCAGACGGCATTTATCCCATCGTCCAAAATCTTTGGATCTAGACTCCAAGCGGCAGTTGACCATGAGATAGATACTCAAGTGGCTTGCTGATGCTTCCTGCTCAAGCGCTGGGGGACAACCCTGCCCGGCGGGAACTGATACTGAACTGATCGGCGAGCCGTGGGTATCATCCACTTCTACTAGCATGGAAGATATGAATGTTTTACATCAGTTGACCCCTGAAAATCTCAGCAGAAAGGACATCGTGGAAACATGGGGGGCAAAGACCAAACTCTCTAACAATCCAAGAGCTTTGGGGGTCCATGATGTTCCATGTTGAATTTCAAGAGGAACCACCAGCCAAACGCTTGGACTTCTCGGAATGGTCCTTGTTCGCAGTGTTGCTTCAACTTCGCCCCAAAAGGTTACACTGCAGCAGTCTTGTTGGCTGGCTTGGCGACCGTGTGCAACGTAGAGTCTTGCCCCGACTTGCGGCCTCCAGTTTGGACTTAGCCATGTGCTAGGCGCGGATTGAAGATCCGGGTTCAAAAAAGCATCGTACAACAATTAAAACAACTTGTTTGAATATCTCCCTGTTTGATCATATTTTGCGATGTGTTATGGCCATACATGTTCTCAAGGCTTTCATGTTTCTTTTCCTCCTGCGGGTCACTGGTTTTTGGCTGCAAGCCATATATACACGCTTTCTTGGACTCCATTAGAATGGAGCTCCCTCTTGGTTCCAAGGTCTGTGTAGCGTAGTGTCCGGGACATTTTGTTATCAGTTATCAGTCACAAGCTTTCTCAGTTGGTCATGTGAAAAGCAAGTTTGCCGGCTCGAGTGCAAGCAAAGACTGCAGCAAACTTGGGGCGATGAGCTTGGAGGCCGGACACGGTTTTTCCATGTGCCACAAGCCTCTTTCCGGGGTCGTTGGAAGGGTATGTCGGTATGAGCTGGTCCCAACCAATATGAACTGGGTGGGTTGAAGATCTCTTTGAGTATGGACCGTTGCTAAGGATGCTTCAAGGGTCTCCCTGGTTGCAGGTAAGTCCGTAAACAGACGTCTTTATGCAGTTCCACCATAATGAAACATATATTATATATATATAATATACATCATTGCCTGGCACGGGTTTTCGACACCTACCATTGGCCTACCATTGCCAAATCCAGCGTATCGCAATTTGTGTTCAAGACCATTGGAAGCAGATAGACTTTGACAATACCAAGCGGCCAAACTTTTTATCACTAACTTCTAGTACTGTTACTGTAGTATAGATTTTCCTATGGCAGGGGAGACACCCACACATTGATAGGGATTTCCGGGCATGAAGATCGCCAGAGATGACCAATAGCATGGAAGACAGGTGCAAAAGCAGTACGTCCAAGATCTATTAGCTGTATTGATATCGTGGAGGCAAATGTGATTGAAGTATATTGAAGTTCCATTTTTTTCCACGTGCAGTTCCACTCGTTTGTTCTCACAACTGAAACAGGACTGCCGTTGTTGCCGATGTGGAGAGGGCATCCAGTTGGACAAGGGCCCTATGCTTTTGTGGGAGCAGAGACCGCCACCCACTTTTGGCTTCTGGATTTGGCTGGAAGTGCGTCGCTTGGGCGGGTGAATGGAGGGCCGGCTTGGGAGTTCCTCCCTCTCTGCGAGAGAAGGAAGGGGAGGTCCCCTTCGTGGACTTCCTCGTTCCAACCTATGGCTTTGCTTCTCCTACTGGTTGTTGAATTGAGAAACGCATACATGAGACATGCCACTTTCTGCGCGGTTTGTACCGATGAGATGTGGTGTATATAGAATAAAATACATTTCTGCCAGATGATGTGAGGTTCACACGGTGACCCGGTGTGCATCACGTCATGTCATGTCGCGATGAGTCACGTTGACGTCTCCATGTGTGTTTACGGCCTGGTGCAGGTGTGGGTTTACGGCCTGGCGAGCTTTTCCTCGCGGAGTGGGAGGACACATTCCAGGACTTCGTGCCAAGCCAGAGAAGCTTCGTGGGCGCAGGCAGGCTTTATTGCAAAGGGTGTCTCTTGGCCATGCTCCAAGAAGGGTGCTTCTTTTCCCCCAAGAGTATGATAAGATGATAGGTTTGGACTATGAGGACTTCCTTTTCCTGCTTTGAACGCTTATTGCACCGCCGAACCGAGTTATGGAGGTCGCCCTCCCGAAACTCCTCGGCCAATACGTTCCTTTTTATCCTTTTTAGAAGATTCGCAGCAATGATCTCAGGCCACGATGAGTGGGGCTGGTATATGAAAAGCGGGCTTCCCCGAAAGAACTTCAAGTTGAATGCAGCTTGCGAAGAGTTGGCTCAGAGGTTCAACGTGAAGATTCTGGGGCGCAAAGCAGACCTCGGAATCCTGGCCTGAACCATTCGCTCCCGTCACTGTGGCAGGTATTGAAGGTCCCCCGGTGACGGTCTTGAGCGAGGATAGAACAAGAGGTGGGTTTGGCTTCAACAAGTTATAACGCTTGTGGCAATAGCATCCATCAACAACTGCAAGTGCCATAAGACCGCAACCTTTTCCTTCAGGGATTTGCTTCCCTAACTTGGACACTCTTCGGAAGACTGATGAACAACATCTTTTTCTCAACTTTTATCCCACATTTAGTTTTGAAGAGTCGCCTGTGACAGCCATCTCAGGAGCTCCTTTTCTCTGCACAGTGTGTGACCAGCGTTGCAATGCACAAAACTTGCAACGGTATCTTGGAGTCTAAATTTCATGCTGATTTCATGGTGATAGTAGCAGGGCTCCATTCCGGAGGGTACCTTAGCAGAGTAGCAGATAGTCGCAGGGCATATTCCTCATCAGCGGGGACTTTTTTGTGCAGCAGTAAAGAACGAGGTTTTAAAGCTTGTGCAAAGGCTGCTGCCGACACGGAAAACAGGCACGTGAATGGGGCCCATTGCAGTACCAACAAGTTCACTTCGCGAGGTTTTGCTTCATATCGGTCCATCCAGCAAAAGGGTTTCACCTGTTCCGCCTCGAGGCATCTGGAGACACACGTAGAAGCTTCGACCGTGAAGCTCGAGGGTGCCACGCAGACAGAGATGTGCTGGGAATCATGGCAAGAGCTAGTGACGCTAGTGGACGTCCAAGGGAAAGTGTGTCATGCGAGTTGTTTTGGCATATAGAATGAGTGTGCAAGTTGTATCAAGTTGTTTTAAACACCATTTGTTGATTGAAACTGCAGGTCCTGCTTCTTAATTCAGATTCTTTCACCTGGAAGAGTTGGACAGTAAACTAAATGCCTCTGTGGCAGGGATCCTTTGAAGCTTGTAAAAGAACATGAACACCGCACATGATTGTCGTAGAACAGGAAACACGGATTGGCCAACCATGCAGCGCTTGTTGCCCAGGTCGGCCAGGAGGAAGATATTTATTGTACGCCCTGTTGGGAATTTGAATCAGACCAGTGCAGGACTCAGAAGTTTTGCTATACAAAGGGGTGGTGTGTCTTCTTGCAGAACATTTGATGTGGGTGTAGCAAATTGTTTGTCTTTTTTCAACCGAATAGTCTTATAGTAGATGCCACCTACTTTCTTTTCTGACTTGGCAGGGGTCAAAGTGGGACTGACCAAAGTCTGACGCATCACCTCTAGACTCTGGATGCTTGGATGTGACTCAGGTACTATGACGATTGGCAGCCCTTCTTAGATCACATGCAGAAGGCAAGCAGCGCATTCAAATTTGGCTCACAGTGTGATCTACAGGTTGTGCTGTGGATTGAGCACGACAGGAACTGGAAGCCAGCTATCAGAGCTTCTGTGATGGCAACACTGGCAATTCTATTTGCCACATTCGCACCAACGGATCCTTCGCAAGAAACTATGTGTTGGAGGATGACAGGTTCAAGGAACAGTGGTATTTAGTTGAAAGGCCACTATATTTATATTACTGTTATATGCTAATATCATGGGAATGGCCACGATTGTTGTGAGTCTTCACAGTTTTGGTGGCTTTTTTGGCCCTGTTTGAAAAACCAAAGGAATGACTCTGTTGTAGGTGTGAACTAAGCATCCGACTGTGAAACCTAGCGAGGTCAAACCTACCAAGTCGACCTGGAGAAAATGGAGCAAACGAATGCGAAGACCAGGAAGGTGCGCCGTGTTCGACGGGGTCAGAGGCCCAATGATGCAATCCTACCGTGACTTGGATCGAAGGCCTAACGTGCCCAGACCATTCGTTGGTTGTTTTGGAAAAGCGTTTATGGGCATGTGTTGCAGACGCTTTGTGAAGACACGGAATTGAACCATATCGACCTTTATGTGTTTTTTGTTTTGTTTTGTCCTTTCTCATGTAGCATTCATGAAGTGTTTGTCCTTGTATTCTATTGTCCTCTCTCACGACCGGACAGAATGCAGAATGCAAAAGCCGTTTCCGAACTCTCAGTGTTTGTCGCGGTGAAAGGATTGGAAGTGTGTATCAGGTCCAATAGCCTGTTGGCTTGACGGTGTGCTAGTGAAGGATCTGGCAAACATATTGCCCTGGCACTACGACTATTGTGATCAACATGTTTTTCCTTGTACTTTGATAAGTTGATAAACCTCGATTATATATATTTCCTTCTCTAGTGCCTTTGTTAAGCGCAGATTCCAACAAAGTTCCCAGCGAGCAAGCCGTTTAACCACAGGTTTCAGGAACTTTATGAGGATCCCCATGACGATCTGATGGCAACTTCACTGCCCGAAGGATGCTTCGGCAGAAGGAGGCGATTATGGAAGACCTGATCGAGACTAACCATGGGCTCGATGCAAAGGCAGCGCAAAAGATATCACATCAGAGAAAGTGGTGCCTTCATCCTAGACTAGAGATGGCTCAGAGCAAGTCGATCTGTATCTTGAGGCTAGTCACTCCAGTTATCGAGAGGTACAGTGGCAAGGGTCTTAGACGTCGGCATCCGCAGTCGTTTCAAGACCGGACATGAAGACCTTGCCCCTGCAAAGACGAATGTAACTGTATTCTGCAAATAGGCCTCTTCGGCAAGGGACTTTGCCACATGGTTGCGACATGTTGTCGGGAGGATCTTGTGGTTCCAGTGACACTCGGATCAGCTGACAGGTCATGTCACTGGGGGAGGAGAATGAGAAGCTGAAGCTTCAAGTCGACGCAGCCAAGAATGAACATGTCCAGAAGATGATGTGCGCGGACCGGGGAAGGGAGGTTGCTGGGATTTCCTGTGATCTGATTTGACTAAAGGTCTCAAAGGAGTGTCTCTCTCATCGTTGATATTCAGAGTTTTCAGAATCATAGTGTTTCACACCATGCTTTTGTTGTGAAACAAAAGCTGAAAGTTGTACCTTTTGGTGTACCAAGCTGCTTGGAACCAATCTCAAAGGAGACTTGGACTTGGTCCTTTTGCTAGGAGTCCTGGCGCATGAAGGACCAGCACAAGCTGAGCGTGCGGCAAGCAATCCAGCTCAAGGATCCAGTGGCCTGGCCGAGCTCGCCGATGCTTCGAGGGTTCTCTCATCCAATGGGCTCAGTAAAGTTAGTAAAGTCAAT